TTATTTTGCTTCACATTGTTCAGCGAGGAACGTTTTAAGTAATGTTTTTCCTTTTTAGTAATATTTGTGTTGTTACTTTTGTCCAAATATGTAATTTAAACAATAGTAAAATGATTTTTGTCTTTATTTTATGACTGTTATTAGATATTTTTGTTATAATTCATATTTTAGATATGTACTATTTACGATTTGTATTGGGTATAAGCCCAATATAGTATATCGCTCATACATTCAGAAATGGGCAGGACCATTTCTAAATAAGTGAGTATCAGTGTGTAATCCCTTCTGACATATATGAAACGGCTATTTACCTTATTTACTTATGTAAGTACAATATACATGTATCATTCAATATATAAGTAAGGTAACATGAAAACATGGTAAAGACGACTAAGGTACACCCGCGCATAGTGATTGAAATCAGAAAAAAAAAACGTTAATGTAGAATGCATAATACACATACCATTTAATTCCTATAAAGTGTTACCGTTTCATTAGGAAACTTACCAATATGAAAAAGTAACATGTTGATCACAATATTCAGTTAATGAGTTCATATATATAAATAATCAAACATGTATTCAGCTCATTGTAAAACCGTGTATAAGAATAAGAATTTTATCATAGTAGAAGAACAATAATTTTTTCGTCAAAAACGCGTGCCCATCAAAACTGTGAATCTCGATGAAATTCAAGCCGAATGCACCGAGTGGAGAATTCTCGTTCGTTTGATTAAGTTGTGACGAATTACGGAGTACGAAAATTCAAAGGTGTCAGTGTGTTCAAGATGATTTTACCAGGCCAAAAGGTAATTTGAAGTGTATTATATTTCAAAATTTACCTTCATAATTAAATATTTTTTAAATCAGCAGCTATTTTACTATATACATCCTTATAATTAAATAACTTAATATTTAAAAAAGAATATGATGCAGAATGGTAAATGCATAAGACACTTTCCAAAAAAATATGTTGAGCGAATGAGTATCAATGAAGACAATTATCTTTGTCAACACGTACATATGATTGTTCTATTTTATGAAGTTTCATGAGACTCACCAATAATTGTATCATCAAGTTATTTAATTGTCACGTAGAGCTTATTTTTATACGTTATCATTTATTTTAATTTTACTTGCAACTTTCCGTACGATCTGAATTTTGATCTTCTTATAGCTACTGCTATGTATCTTTTGGGATTAAGGCTTGAGTGTTGTTTTGTTGTTGTTGTACAACTACTACTATGTATTTTTTATTTCTTATTCTTTTCTACTACTACGTATATACTTCGTATAACAAAAGTCAAACATATAACATCTATCTTCTTTTTTATTTTGCAAAATTACACATTATATACCATCTGAAAATATAATTCTATATAAGTTACTTTTCAATTCTAGATATACCCCGTGCATCACACGGGTTCTTCGTATAGTTAAAATAAGGTTATTTGTAAGTAGGGTGACATGTAAAATTATCACAAATTGCAATCGACAAATATTGGCAGATTCAGGAAGATATAAAAAAATTGCAACTAAAATAATTAACAAAGATACCAAATTTCTCAGCAGACTTGTGGACATAGATCTTAGCAGCACATTAGCAACCCCGTAGAAGCCGGCAGCAAACCCAGATGGCAACCACTAGGATGGTTAGGCAAGAACATAGCTATGTGCTTCATTCTGGTAGATCTACTTTCTGAGATTGTTGGTGAGATGTCACGGGACCGCACCCTCATTGTAACTAGTTCATAGAAGCACATGCAAATAAAAAACAAAAATGATGTTTGTACACACTCTTATACACACTTTTGTACACACTTATGTTCGTGAAAACTTTTTTTTTTTGTCTGTGAACATCGATTCACAGACAATATTTTGCACAAACAAAATACTGTCTGTGAACCGGATTCACAGACAAAAAAAAGCTTCACAAACATGGTGTGTATAAGATGTGTACATCAAGAATGGTTGAATAAAAAATACGTAGTAACAAGAAAGACCATGACTCGAGACACACATAGTCGCTGTCCTCAAAAAGTATTTTCGACGGACTCAAAATCATTCACAGAATATAAGGAGGCCTTCGACTATAATGAAGAATATTGATACTGCCAAACTCTTTACCCATCTTGATATGAATATAATGAAGTGTTTTTTGTGGGTATATGGAGGCAAGGTACGAGGCTAGAACTTGGGATACCCCGCAACTGGACCAGTTAAATCAACAAAGAAGAACGAACATTCATGTCTGTTATGATTGATGGTACACTTCAATCCCATTAAAGTATTACTACCTCTGTTTCTATTCATTTTCATTTACCCAGTCGCAAAGGCTCCCACCTACGGTGGGGTAAGAGAACGTCAGATTTACGCAGTCTTACCCCGTACAAAACCAAAGAGAGACTATTTCCGGATGACCCATAGTGAAAATCGCGTCCAAAATTGTATGGACTGACTGATGCTTCATAACAAAGAAGCGCAGACAATTTATTGAGCCATTTTGCTTTATTCCATCATAATCTCAAGCCAAAAAATAATGAATCTTTGGCTCCATTGCAAATGATGGAAACACCTTCATTCCTATTATAATTTCCAAATAGGTTTGGCACACAATTTAAGATAGTGGATATTGTGTGATGGAGAGTTGTACATAGGAGAGAGAAATGTGTAAAAAATGTTGTGAACCACAAATTCTTTACCAAAAAGGGAAAGTGGAAGTTTTAATTGGAACGGACGAAAAAAAAAGTTGGAAGTTATAATAGAAACGGATGGAGTATTATGAAATTGCATTAATTAGGAGTAAGAGCAAATTTGAATATTAATTAATATAAGAGCATTCTTTTTTATTTTATTTCTTAAAAATGAGTAATATACTTTGAATATGCAGTGTAATATGACATAAGTATTGTTATATTGAATGCATGCCAGACCATACTAGATCAGACCAATCCAGATTAGATTTCGACAATTGTAAAGCTCACACAAAACAAATCTCTACCAAATTAGACATATTCAAACTGGACATAACCAAACAATATTTAAAAAGACCACACCAGAATAGAAAATTACAATCTAATTAAAAATATTCTGAATTCAAAATGATAGGAAATATACTACACTTATTCCTGTTTGAGATTTTTTCCCAAAAACGTTCAACTAAGTTAACACCACAGACACTCATGTAGGAACCGCAAAAATGTAATTCCTTCAAAATTGTTTGCTTTTGCTTTAATAAATTAGGAAGGTGTTCCCCGACACCTCAGCTCCCCTCTAGAGTGGTTTGATCCGGGTAAAAAAATCGCAAATTCACAATAATATACTCCTTATGTTCTCCTATATTTGTCTCGTTTTACTTCTTTCTGTTTTTCCTACTGAGTTTGTCTCATACTATGTTTACTTTATTCACATTTTATCAATTTAGTATTAATTGCTCCCCGTCCCGGAATGATCTTCCAAAATACATCTTGCAAGCTTAAACAAGGTGGACTTTTATAAGCTCGGAGGCCACTAGAATAATCAAAGGCAAGGTCGGGACAACAACTAGAATGATTTCTAGTAGGGACAACTAGTAGAATGAATTCTATATAGCAGCGGCATATCTATCTGTTTTGTAATAAGAGTGTGTATCCTTTCCGATGTATAAAAAAAGTAAGAATATGTCACGTTTTTTAATAAGTTGGGATGATTCATGATTGTTACGTATTTGTTAATTGTTAACCGTAAAGTTGTATTCTCAAATGCACATTTTGACTTGCTTTAAATTTCATTTCTTGCGAATTGTACTGAGTATATGTGACTAAAGATAGGTTTTTTAGGGCTTCTCCAACAAGCACCAAACTTGACACCAAAATGGTGTATTTGGCAAAAAAATGCTCCAACAATAGCACCAAACTTGACACCATTTCACCAAGATAGGGGAGGGAGGAATAGTTTCCGCCATATATGGCGTGCCCCATTTGTTGCACCATCAACTTTTTGTAATTTTTTTTCTTTCAAATGTGACCCAAAGTTTTGGTTATTATAGTTTTGACCCATGTTTAAAACAACAAAATAGGAAGTTTTACTTGGACTGGAATTTGTTGGTCCGGTCTAATTTGGTCTGGTCTGGTCTGAATTATAATATTATTGTAGTACTTTAATAATGAGGTACAATTTATTATAATATTATTGTAACGTTTAATTTTATGTGGTTTTAGCTTGTATTTGTTAAATATTGATTATTGTGTTTTAATTAGTGAAATGCGTGAAAATACATATTAAAATGATGTATTTTAGTTTGTTTGTGTGAAATAATGTGAGAAATGTCAAAATATTAAATGAGGGGCTAATGTATAAATATAAGATAGTTAGATACTTAAATAGAAGAATGGTAAAAAATTAGTAAAAAGAATAAAAAGAGAATATTCCTTTTTGGTGATGAAAATGGTGTAAACTGTTGGAGATAAAATACTGTTTGATGTGATGTTTACACCATTTTAGTGTAAAAAATGGTGTTAACCGTTGGAGATGGTCTTAGCTTTACTCATATGTGGATTCATACTGAATCTGTTTAACTTAACATATTACTCTGTACATTAATTTGTCCCTTATTAGTAAAATTAATCATACGATAAACGAGGTTCTTATTTGAAAACGTGTTTTGACACCTACTACTTGATTTCAAAATATTGTTTTTTTTTACACCAGAGGGGTCTGGGGGGCTGGGGTCTGGAGTAATCAGGACCGAAATTCACTCCATTGAGTTTCAAACCCTTGTGTGCCTAGCGGGATTTGAACTCGAGACATCTACTAGGCACGGTAACCTCACAACCGGGTAGGCTGGAATGCTTGGTTTGATTTCAAAATATTGTATATATTGTAAATTATGTCCAACGCCAATTGATATACATGTATAATAAGAAAATCTTTTAATCAGATGTTTCTAATTAGTCCATTTGATTCACATTTTTAATCATTTAGAGTTATATTCATGTTACAAGTCCCTAGTCAGTACATATAAACATAGATTCAATGAAATATGAGGGAAATGAACATAGATTTCATATTAATAATTGGACTAGAAATAAACAAATAACTGCGTCTATGTAAGCAACTAAAATGATTTCTAATTCGGGCTTTGGTGAAACAATGAACTCTAATTAAATGCACGAAAACTAATCAATGCAGATTTTCTTTTGCTTTTTCGCCTTGGTATCTACACTCTACATTCATATTATCTCCATACAAGCTAGGACAACATCGAAAACTCATTATAGTGTGCACAGAATTGATGCATAAAACCCCATTGTTGAATGTCTTGCCTTTGAATTTCACTTGGTTCTCCTAGAAGACCTACTTTTCTTCGTCTTCGTGTTCTTATTCTCATCAAAGCTGCTCCAACTATACCCAGCTGGGATGGCGAATGGATCTGCTTGCTGTCCATTACAGCTTGGCTGCAAACGGCTTGTTGATCCCGCTCGACTTCCGCCCCTACCCACCCGGCCAGCTCGGCTCTCCATGCTTTCGTCCCCTGGCTGGACAAGATCTCTCGGGCTTGAAAATGGCGTGAAAAACTGATCAATAGGCTGTAGCTCAACAAATTTGGTGAAGGTTATTACCACCCTCACAGTAGGGACCACAGGAATCGCCACCTGTACATATCATATTAGTTAAATCACTAAAAAGTTGCTCAAGTAGAAGTAAAATAGGAACAAAGTTGAAAATAGATGTATTTATACTCCCTCCAGTTCTTATTAAAGTTCTCACTTTCCTTTTTGGGATGTCCCTTATTTAAATTCACACTTCCATTTTAGGAAACAAAACAGTGCCAAACAGTGCCAAACAGTGTCCAAACAGTGCCAAACAGTGCCAAACAGTGCACTCCACAGTAAAGTCAAATTCATTTTCTTAATATGTGTGAAGTCAAACTGGGAACTTAAATAAGAACCGGAAGAAGTAGTTTGTTTTCGACTGATTTAATCTTAATAAAAGAATAAAATAAAGAGCTTTCTTGTTTTGTGTTGAAAAAAAGATAGTCTTGTTCAAACAAAAGTGCAACAAATGCTCAGTATGTTTTTCAACTGAAATTTTCTGTACATTAATTTGAAGTTTTTCCGAAATCAATAAATCTCAAAGCCACATTCCAAAGCCAAATGGGAGGGAATGTTTCTTTTCTTGTGGCCCATATTTACCGATAAAGTGCATCTATGTCATAAAGCGCTTAAGCGGAAAATGTAGGCTAACGGGGATCAATAATAGCTACTAGTAGGTCAGCCTGTGCATCAAAAAACTCAAAAGGAGAATTGGGTGGGACCCGGTTAGAAGTTCCTCGAAATAGCAAATTTGCGCCGTACCTTTACCGGAAAAGTTCCCGGAGGAAATTTGGTCGTCAACAGCTCCCTCAATCGCCTAACGGCCTTCATTTTGTTCGCTAGAATGTCGAGTAGTGGCAGCAGCTCCTCCGTGCTTAACGGGAATTGCTCTGTCAACCAAACTGACGGTTTCAGATTTTTAACAAATTCCTTCTCCTTCGTCTGCGGAGGCGGCGGAACCGGGATAGCCGCCGATCTTCGCCGCGGCGCTGGAATAATATCCACACTCTTTCTCGAAACAGTAATTTGCTCTCTGTCCTCATGAACAAAGCTGCTATGGCGTCTCTGTCCGCTGGGGGCGTCCACGGAGGTGCTGAATCGCGGATTCTCCGCTACGAGGAAGCCATCTTCCGCATCCTCTTCAATCTCCAAGTCTAGGGGTAATACTTGCTCGCTTCCGGCTTCTCCCCCGGTGGCTTTGCGAGACCGGAAGCTAAAAGACACATTGTTCACTTCGTAAACTCTAGCTTTCCATTCTCCGACGTTCTCTGTTTTCCCCTGACCTCTCCAATTCGTACGCCCAACTAGCGTGGCATTCGTCACGTCCATTCCGGGCCGATATATGCTTGTTTGGCTACAAACATTGGCTACATCGCCGTCAGTTAAAGGACTTCCGGCGTTTTCAAATGCATCGTAGATTTTCCGGTCATCGTGGTTGAGTACCAGAAGTGAACCGACAGGAATGTCAGATTTGGTCTCACCGTCAGGTCCATCCCCGAAGAAAAGGAAGCTCTGATTGGCCCGCTGAATTTTCAAACCGTCATATCCCGCTAATGATGTGTCGGCTCTGAGATTGCCGTCCCGCTTCCAGATCTTATACGTATCCGAAGGAGCCATTTTCCCGACGAATGGAACAATGGAGCTCTCAAAGTGGAAGGAAATCTCCATATAGAAATCGCGCATCCTCTGGAGAGCGGCTACAAGCCGGGGGAGGCGGCGGCGCCATTTGCACCAGGCACTGAGGTGGTGATGCTGCACAAGCGTCGCCACGATGTCCGAGCACCGCCGCACAATGGCCTCCTGCAGAGGATTCCAGCCAGCAGCATTCTGGAGAGAAATATCTGCTCCTGCAACGGCAAGAGTTTGAGCAGCGAATGCATCGTTGAGGCGGACCGCCAGATGCAGAGGAGTCTCGCGGTTGAGATTGTCGCGGCGGTCGAGTACGGCGCCGATTTGCTCAGCGAGTCGTTCCTGAGCGAGCGAGTCAGATTCGGTATGAATTCGGTTCGGGTCACCTAGCCGGTCTACCGAAGAGACTAGGCGTTTCAGGGAACTGTGATCTGCAACTGCGACGGCGTAGTGGACCGGACTATGGGCGTAATCTTCCGGCCGTATCGTCGTCGGCGGCTTGGACATTGTACATTAACTCTCTCTCTCTCGTCTGGTGGATTGGGAGGTTTAAGAGATGAAGAAAGAAAGAAAAAGAGGGGAAAACGGTTCTTTGTGTAACGGAATGTAAATTAATTGGGGAAAGAGATGAAACATTCAATTTTCGAATACCGTGCTTTCTACTGCTTCTCCTCCGCCCAGCGTAAATCAGGAAATACCATATGATTAATTAATTAATGATAATTTCTTTTAAGAAAATTAGGGGCCGTTTATTAACACCATATTTATCTGTTTTATTATCAATGGAAATGTTTTATGATCCTCTAAAAAAGGAAAAGTTTATGATGTCTTAAGGGTTTCTCTTGAATATTACTAAATTAAGGGTGATTTCCAAAAAAGTGACTAATTTTACATTTAGACAAATATGTGACCAAAATAAAGTGACAGTCAAATATTCATGTCACTGCATCATTTCATGTCACTGTGGGATGTTATTGTTGCCCGTATCACTGCTGCCGCCATCACCCTTGTCATTTCCGTTGCCATGGCTCATGCCATCGTCGTTGGTCACCGATGCCGATCACAGTGGCACCATCGCAGTGAGACTTCCGCCGACCACAGTGACGCCATCGGCCACAGTGACGTCGCTGGCCATAGTGACACCGCTGGCCACAGCATAGCTGCCCACCATATCAAAGTCACTGTTGTCTCCCATACACCGCCCAACTGCCCACTACCCCCTCCCTCCCCACACCATAGCCACCCAAAACCCAGTCCCCACTCACTGCCCTGCCCATCTCCCTTACATGTCCCTTTCCACCCTCGCCCACCCTTAAGTGTGAGATCTTCCGGAACCACCACAACCCAGATGCCCGACCACCACACAGCCCCCCCCCCCCCCAACCTGCTTCGGCTCCCCAACCCGCCCTCCCCGTCATTACACCCTCAAAACCCTCCTCCTAGCCTCCCAGATCTGATCCCTCGCATCATCGGCAATCTAGATCCACAATGAAACCATCACCTCACCATTATTGGACGAGAAGAAGAAAGAGGGAAAAGAAGAGCGAGGATGGCAATTAACCGAACCGATCAAAGCAGATCGAAAAATGCAAAGAGGACCGGAGCGTGGCGGCGATGTTGTGAAGATCAGAGACATCTGGAGGACGGCGGCACTTCAAGAATAACCGGCGGCGATGGAGACTGGCGAGGCGTATGGACGAAGAAGATGTGGAGTTGATCGAAGATCCAGGGGAGAGGTGATGCAGCTCGTAGATGATGATGACGCACAGATGATGGGCAGATGATGCAGCTCTCAAAGGTGGAACTTAGTCACATTTTTGTCATTTTCAAATTTTATCTTATTTTTGTCAATGCAAAGTCCAAGAGTAATTTTACGGTCATTCTTTCTCTTTTTTACTGTAATTTAATGAGTTTATTAAGTAAGAAGATAATTTACCAAAAAAATGTAAGAAGAAAAAATAAGTTTTCTGAATGTTAAAATAACTCGCAAATTATACCGTGAGACTTTTATACTATGTGCATTGTATAACGGTCTCAATACAATATTGTTTTTCAATTAAAATATGCAATTAATAGACCGTATTCTCTTGGCTATCCATCCTTCTTCATTAAAAACCTAGGTTTCTTTCTTTTCTTCTTCAACGGTCTTCTTCTCCTTCATATTCCCTTCGTCTCTTAAAACTTTGCCAACTTTCCCTGTTTGGATGTCCCATTAACTTTGCAACTTTCTCTTTTAAGTAAAGAATTTGTGGTTCCAGTTAATTCTCTTTCCTCTGCACAAAGCTCAACCACACAGTTTTTACTTTATTAATCCTCATGTCGGTCAAACTTGGCAAAGTTTTAAGGGACAGAGGTGGTACAAATTTAATCACAATTTCATTTTCTTTCATCTTCAAAATTCTAATTTTTTTCTTTTTTCTTTTCTTCTTCAATTATCTTCTTCTCCTTCATCAAAATAGACCTAGGTTCTTATCTTTCTGCATCAATTTAAACCTGATGTTTTATTAGTCAAAAATAAAAATTTATATTTATATTTGAAGGCCTATAACATCTTTTCAAGTTGTATATCTTATACTCTGTATTAGACAACGTACATTTCGACTTGTCTCAAGTCACATTTTCACCTGTCATGATTTACATTTTGACTTTTCTGATGTTATAATTCTATTAATGTCATTTACATTTCGATTTGTCTCAAGTTACATTTACATTAACGCGATTAAGAATTCAACTTGTTTCAATTTACATTTTGCATACACGCGAAAACATTACGATTTGTATCAAGTTACATTTTGCTTACATGCGATTTACAATTCAACTAATGTCAAGTTACATTTTGCATACAAGAGATTTACATTTCACATATGAGGGTGAGTGAATAACGGCCCGAGGGAGTAACACGAGTTACATTTGCCGCTACATGATATTACATTTGTAGCAACAAGATTTACATTACAAAAAAAAATTGAATACTCATTGTTCACAAGCGTTTTCTAATTAAAACTTAAACTTAAATGACATCATTTTACTTGTAGAAATATGATGTTCACCGTGGCCGCTCCCATTGTATAGATATTGAAATAATCATCATGTTCCAAGAAATGTGTAGTCATTTCATTAAGCATAACAATATAATTAATATAACTAAAGTATTTAGTATCATGTGAGTTAAGTGTCTTGGTAAATTTTACGGTCCCCTCAAGGTATTGGTAAATTTTACGTACCCTCAAGGTATTGTACCTTGTGCACGTGAAGCAATTAGATTTTTCAAAGTTGTGTAATTTGTATATAAATAAATGATTAAATAATGATATTGAGGAATGAAATGTATTGTAGGTATGGTGTTCTCAATTAGTAATGAGATATTATAGCATTCACCAAGTATCATTTACAAATTAAATGAGTTTATTAACGAGCATCATTAAATAATATAAATATTATATTTGGAAAAACAAGCTGGATAAAAGTTGCTCAAAGTGAAATGTCAGTTGAATGAAGTACACTTGTTTGGTTATACTACTGAAAATATAAATTTTATTTTCATAGAAACTAGATAAAATTTAAATAACAGGAAGATAAAGTTGACATAAGTTAGGAGTAACTAAAGGGGTGAACTGAAACGCTACAAGTAGTAAAATTTCAAAACAACTGTTTGGTTTTAGATCCAGCCATGTTGTGTTTTTCATCTAAACAAGAGTAAATGCAAATTAATTGATTGGATTGATCATATTTTAACTCATTTTAAGCTGAAATTGTCACGTCAAAGTAAGTTTTTAAGAAGTGGGATAAATAAATGCAGAATCTGACATGTAGCCATTTTTGTTCTTTATAGGTGGATCGTAAAACTGATACTCCCTCCGTCTTACTAGACTTTTCCAACTTTCCTTTTATATTTGTCCCAAAAGACCTTGTTACTTTCCTTTTAAAGTAATGCTTTTGTGCTTCTGTTCATTTCTTTCTTCTCTTCATAAATCTCAACCACACAAATTTTACTATTCTAATTTCCCACCTACCATTAACTTGACAAAGTTGAGTGGGATGGAGGTAATATGAAAAATCTTAGAGCAAAAAACATCACAATTTGAAATGGTCTTTAGTGTTATTGGCCTGGTTAGAATTAGTTACTTAACATATTTGGAATAAATAGAGTTTCACTTTCGAATTTTAGTGAAAATGTACACAAGTCATAATATTTTTTATAAATGAAGTCTTTATACGCGAGATATAAAATTTTAATGGATTTTTGCAACTAGATAAAATTGTTTTAAATTATAATATAATAAACTAAGATATGATCAGACCAAGCATTTAACTTGTTTAGAGTAAACAGAGACTCGTTTTTAATTTCATTGAAAAAAGTAATTATCTCGTATTTTTTTAAATGAAGTCTCTATACGGGTTTTCGTAATTTTAAAGATCTTTTATTTTTCCAACGAGATAAAGTGACTTTTAATCGTACATGGGATTCAGAAAATTAGAATATTTTTAGTTGGGCTGAATTTTTATGGTCTATGTTGGTGCAAAAATTTGACAGCTTATTTCTACATTAAAGAGGGTTGACCATGGCAATTAATAGTGCATTCATTAGGTTTAATGCTACCTAATTATTATAAGAGTTTTTGTGTGTATTATTATAGTCATTATTTTAATTAAAGCAGGAGTTACTCAAATAGCTTACTGATATTAATGACGGCATCATGATGACTTTGAATGATATTAATGACAGCATCATCATGATAAACCGTCAACAACGAACAAAAATGCATTAATTATCCTTTGTATAAGTAGTATCGAGCTCAGTTGTAAGAGGGGGCACCTCATTCAAATTACACATCAATTTACATTCTATTTCGCTTACTTGACATCCTTCTTGTTGTTCTTGTCATTTTCCTTACCGTTCTTGTACGAAACCCAATCAATATACAATTTCTATTCTTATTACTTTTAATTTATCAAAACTTTGCTAAAACAATTTGGCGCCGTATGTGGGAAATCGTGCAAGAAATTTATTCTCCATGGAAGGAACGAGCAACGAGATGATGACCGAGTTTCATAAGCAATTAGAGGCGATGAAAGAAGAAATCCGGCGTGAAGTGGCGGAACGGATGGATCACCTCCAGCGAGAAAACGATGTACTACGATCCCAAGTGCAATCGGTAATGTCCATGGCCTCTAATTTAAGAAACAACCAAAGGAGTGACGCTATGACCGCTGCTACTAGGCTAGACCTTGGTCTCACCCCGGCTCCAACGGAACCATTCATTCCTCTCTCGGGGACTGGCACGTCCGGAGAACCAGGGCCCTCAACTTGGCCCATCCACCTCCCAAATCCTAGATGTAACGTGTTCCACAACCTGTTTGCAGAGCCTCATAGACGATGGGTTCCAGACCATGTCAACATCTCCAGGCATGTCGACATCAACAGCCAAAGGCAGCAAGAGCCTGAAGTCATCATCATACCATCACCAACCAGGTAGGAGGTGACCCGAACAATGACACCACAAATCTCGACAATGAGACAGATGCAGACAGGTCCAATAGATCCCATGACCGTCATCATGGAGGAGTTAAGAGAAATGCGAGGAAAGATTAACGGCATCCCTGGAGTACCACCGCC